ATGCAATACAGTGACTTCTTTCACCAATGGGCAAGTCCCTAGGTGGTTGCTGTTGTTGTTGTGTACTGTCTAGTCGGAACCAATCCATAGCTGACCCTCCAGCAGGTTTTCAGAGGCAATTAATGACATGGGAGGACGGGAGGAGACTGTTCCTCCTTCTCCCATAGAGTTGCTGGTAGCATCTAAATGCAACCCTTTGGGATTGCAGTGCAGCTTCTTTCCACTTAGCCACCAGAGCTCCCTAGGTACCTCAATAGTAAAGCAGATTCATTCTAATTCTTGATGGGTCTACCTTACCTGGAAAGTCTTTAGACAACTCTTGTGGGCTCACAGATTTGCCAAAGATACTTTGTAAAAATTGACAAAAATAATCTAAACCTAGAATAACCCCTGAAATTCCATTTTAAAAGCCATATAAATGGAATAAAATTGTACATATGCCCTTGAATCTACTTTTCAACACAATCTCTTAAACTATGTTTAGAACAAGGAAAAGGTACATTTTCTTTTCTTCATACTGTTTTTTTAGGTTTTAAAAACAAGGAAAGGGACAATGCATATAATTTATACGCTTAAAATGGAGAGTTGATAAAATTTTTCTTTCCTTCCCATGCCAAAATAAAAATGCCATAGGCACTCAAATCTACAGCCCTAAAAACAATTTAAGGTTAAAACCTCTGAAGAGTAATGGAACTTCTAGAAGAAAAAATATCCATAAGTATTTTTTACAAATCAAAGATAAATGTTATATAAACAAGCAGATTAACTAAATAAGTATCTGATGTTTCCACTAAGCACTTTATGTCTTGCACTAACCATGAAAATTTACACAAGGCTTTGCACGTGATTCAACTCTGGACACAGAACTTATACATTAATGTCCTCCTAAAACACCCCTTTCACCACACAGGCTCTGAAAAGGCTTAAACATGCACAAGCTGTGGGTAATGTAGAATTTGGAGCCAAATTTCCACCTAGTTCAGCCAGCCATAAAGCAACAAATTAAGGTTGCAATAAGCATACTGCACACACAAAACTTAATTATGCTGTAAGTAAAACATTTGCAATTTCTTTCACCCCAAATCTGCACAAATAAAAGTATGCAGATTTCAACAACAAACCTAGAAATCCTACTGAAGCCAAAATTATCTCTAGTTTCACTCCCAATTCATCTATATCTCAATCGTTAATGGAGTTCATAAATATGTACACTTGCCAGGGACTGTACTAGGAATATTATTTCTAATTCTCATAACAAACCCCATTCTGCTTGTATGGAAACTGAGGCTAAAAGAGGCCAAGGTGACTTGTCCTATGTCATAAAGCCAGTAAACGCTGAAGCTGGGATTCAAGTAAGAACCATCCATCTGTCTCCCTGATTCTATAATACCAATTCACCTCTATGAAAGTAAATTCAAGACGTTTGAAATTATGCTAATAGCTGAGAATAATATCATCCTTAAAACTATAACCCAAGACCCAAGAGTTCTCAATGAGGAAATGCAGCCACCACCTTAAGCATAGCCAGGTTCCAAAGGCTATGGTTTAAAATTCGAGAGAATTCACTTGGGGGTGGAGAGGATACCTTGCAACTGACTTTTTAGAACAAGGGAAATGAAACTCAAAAGTACAGTCACATTTTTTTGGTAAAATTATTTAAAATCCTTGAACAAAAAAGGGTGTTGTTTTTCCTAATTCACATTACAGTTTACTTCTTCAATAGGCTTCAAATATTCAAAAACAAAATCACATCAGCAACATTACTAATCAACTTTTTTTTCTACAGACTTGAAAAAGTATTTTTCTTACCACACTACAAGATTACTTCCCATACTGAGAGCAGAAATGGAAACAGCTCAGGGTGTCACGAATCAGATCTTGAGGCCAAGGTTGCAGGTGCTGTTTCCCTTGAGTAGGAGCTGCTGATCTGAAACCTCCTAAGGGAAGGGTGTCTGAAGAAGAGTGTTGAAGAAACTAAAGCAAGCTGTTTGTATTAATGAGTGAGCTGCTGGCACCACTGCTCCTTAAGTGTTTCACTGCTATGCAATTGTTTTCCAGCTTCCAAGCCCTGAATCTGGCAGGGAGACTGCTATTCTCACAGCCATACGTTGATATATGATCAGCTGCTCTGTGGTGTGTGGGTGTTTAACTGGGTGACTGGTTAGAAGAGGTTCTGCAAAATAGTAAACCAAGGAAGCGCATTGTCCCCTGAGATTTTAATGGTATGTCTGCTATCCCACACTGACAATGAAAAGTACATTTTTGCAACTTTGAAATAGTTTTGGTTTAGCATAGGCAGATAATTTCCAACAGTAAAACTTCAGGTGTGACATGAACAAAAAATACAAGCTGTAATATAAGCCACTTCAAGCATGTTTATTAGATAATAAAAAAAAAAAGTAGTATTTGCAACCTCAGCAAGCCTTCTCACTTCACAGGGAGCATTGCATAATTATTGGAATAAATGCTATTCTTCAGCTGTGTGGAACAGGTTCTACGCAAGATTCCAATGTCTCCTTGCCTTTCAAAGAGCTGGTTAATACCTTGAAATCTTTAGCTTCTTAGAGCCCAAAAATGAAAAAAAAAAAGGAAATTTTAAAAAAGATTCCTTAAGGTGGGAAAAAGTACTGTCAGAATTATAAGCTGCTAGACTGCAAGACTTTGTGAATTTTAATGTTACTGACCATCACAACATTATCACAAGGTGGCATAAATATCTCTTCATTAAAACAGTAGCAAAAAGCAAGAACTGAGCAGACTATAATTTAAACAAAATTGGAGAATACCTAGCTCCTGCTTAGTGGCAGAAAGGGGCAATGTTCATTCCTAGTTCTGGATTCTAAATGTGGAAACTGAATTTCTTAATCATAATTAAAACCCTTTTGTTAAGATAAAATAAGTTTTAAAAAAATAGATTATTCCGATGACAATGTCTGTCTTATTAAAACTTGAGATCATATAAATTTAAAAAACCCCACTTCATGCAGCATATAAGAAAACATTTTCTTTTAGAAGAGCAAATTAATCTCAACTAACACATAAGGACTTCTAACATGCCTTATAAAACAGATCATGTACTTTGTTGCGGAAATTTGCTACAGTTAAAATACAACACTAGGAACACAATTCATTATCAACTGGCCTAAGTTAAGTAATTTTAACTCCATTTACTTTCAGAAAAGACTCACATACAAATCTGTTCTTTACAGAAAGACAGTGAAATGAAACATTACAAATACCTAACTTGCTTTAATCAAAGAACAAAACACTAGATGCAAAATCTCCTTTGCTGTATATTGTTCAGGACCAAAGTAATGCCAATCCTTAAAAACTAAACACAGAACTCGAGTTCCTTTCACTTTGGCATAATATACATCTTAAGATGAGGTCCCAGGACCATCTCTACTATGACTAATGACATACAAAATTTTATGTGTCTATTTCACCGAGAAGAGGGCCCGGAATGTTTTCCCCAAGAAAGGCTAAGAGCCACTGAAGTAGACATCCCCAGACTCGGTAAAACTTAGAGTGAACACTTAAACAAAATTACACTAAAGATAGTACCCATCTGGTGGCAGGTTCACAGCACTGATACCAACAGCCAAGCTGCAAGCGCCTACAATCACGGTGCAGCTCCCCACTTGCAAATCAGCTGAACGTGGAAAGTGGAAACATCACCTACATTCAACACACACCTCCCCAGCTACAGCAGCTCTTCGCTCTCTAAAGCATGCATGTGTTGTCAACAAAGCATGTGCTCGCTGCCATTCCCAGAACAAAACGGGTCTGGCCATGTTCTGGGGGGAAAACATAAATGTTTTCCCAAAATGTTATCCTATTTATTTACTACACCTTGGCTATAGATGTTAAACATCTAATAAAAAGAAAGCATTTCCACACATCATGTATATCTAGATGAACTGGGGGGCGTGGGGGGGCGTGTACACAGGCATTACTGAGTCCATGAGGGATGCACAGAAGGGAAACACTATAATAATGATGCCTGAACACGGGGACTATGTGGGGTATCAAAGACAGATTCACTCAGGAACATCCCGAGAACACTGTGGAAAGCACCCTTCTCCAGAGGTAAAAAAAGCACATTCCTTTGATTGGCATAAGCCGTTCCTGACAATAGATTGGCGATGACAGGGCTGTTCTGCAATCAGGAAGTGTGTGTGTGTATGTGTGTGTGTGTGTGTGTGTGTGTGTGTGTTTGGGGGGGCAGGGGGAGGCCTAGATGTGACCGAAGACTGGCCTTCTCCAAAGAAGGGCATATGGGATCTTAAATCGTGAAGACAGACTTCAAAGGTGAAGCCGGGGCATTTACCATTTCTACAGGAGACAGATAACCCTCCACAACGAGCATGTTATGTGAGCATGTAACGGGGTGTCAGTGCCTTTTAGTATCTTCAATCTAAGAATCTTAAGTAAAGCCTGATTGGAGGGAACGAGGAGGTGGGGGTGGAGAAAGGTCGGCATTACCCACTGGGGTGAGTGTTGGGCTGCTGGTGGTGGATGTACACAAGATGCATTTTTATCTCCCGGCGGCACAATACTCCCCGGGGCTGGAAGCTTGGGTGCAACCGCAGGGCAGGGGAAGGCAGTGGGTGCAAGCTCCCAGCTGCAGGGCAGGCGAACGCCCGCAGGAGGACCGGGAGCGAACCTCCTCCCCGGCCCGCAAACCCGTGCAAGCCCTGCCTCCCCTCAGGCCGCGGGGCAACAGGACTCGCTGCAAAACTAGCGCCAAGCCCGCGGCCAGGAGGGAAGGAACGAAAGGGCAAAAGTGTGGTGCCCCCGGCCCAATCTCGGTGCCAGATCTGGGGCCTCCCCGACTGGATCGGGGCTGCTCCGGCCTAGTGCGCGCAGCTGCCTCGGCGAAGGGTTAACCCGGCCCCCGGAGCCTGCCTGGCCCGGCGGGCAACAGAGAGGAAGAGCTGCTGCAAGGGGCGAAGCCGCGGCTGTGGCGTGTGCGTGGGGGGAAACGGGCCCCTACTCACCCGGGCCGGCCGCCTCCACCTCCGCCGCCTCGACCGCCGCCTCGGCGGTCCATCCTTGCGGCGGGGGGCCTGTAGCCGCGGCGCTCGAGTAACAACCGCCGGCCGGGCCGGCCCCTCCCCCCCTGCCCAACGCCTGTCCTCAGGGCCGCTCCTCAGACCCGGTCTCGGCCGCCGCCGCCGCCGCAGCGCTACGTGGCCGCCGCTCCGACGTCTCGCGACTCCCTTCCGAGCGCGCGAGGGCGAGCGGGGCCGGCGGGGCGGGTGGCGCGCGGGGAGGGAGGCAGGGGAGGGGGTGTGCGTGTGTGGATGTGTGTGCGGAGAGGGGGCAGGGAAGGAGGGCGCGAGCGGCGACGGGAGCGCGCGCGCGCCCGCGGGCCCTTCCCTCGTCGGCCCCCCCGCCCAACAGGGATCCCGACACCTCCCTCCGTCCGCCCCCCCTTGGCATCCCAGCCGCTGGAAGCAGCAGTGCGCATGCGCAGCCCCTGGGGGCTGGCCCCGGCGCACCTTTCTCCCTCCTGCCACATTGTGAGCGCTCCACCGCCCAGATAACCGCCGACTCCCTGCTCCACCCCCGCCCTCTCCCACTCCGCCCACTCCCGGGTGCCCAGGTAAAGGCGTAGGCTGCGCATGCGCGCCTCTTCCCTTGGGTCGGGGGGCGTGGTTGCTGAAAAAGGAGCCAGAATGTAGTGGGGGGGAGGGAGTTTGGGGCCCCGGCTGTGGGATTCCGCAAAATAAGATGCGGGAAAGGTAAGGAGGAGGGAGGGTGGGGAAAGGCGAAAGTAGAAAAGTGGGCCGAAGTGAGATTTAGAAGTGAAAGAGTCTTTGGTTTTGCAAGAAAGTAGGGGGAAAATTGACTGCTAGCCTTCTTGTTACTTACTAGAGAGCAGTGTGACAGAGGACAGAAATAAAGCAGGCAAAATACAAGCAGTAGTAGTCATTCAGTACATGAATGGAGACACTAGCGAAAACTGGAGGAATTTAAAGACTGACATCGTGGTCGGGAAAAGTTAAGATTTAGAACTGCCCTTATACTGTGGCCAGGATTTGAGAACAGGATTTATGTGTGTGTGCATGAGGCAGAGAGCTGCTTCAAGAAATGAAGGCTCCGTTGTAACTATTACAGCATTATGACTAATTAGCTGTTAATCATTAATATAATTAATGGTACCATTATCTAACAAAAGAGCCTGGGTGGCACAGTGTTTTCGCGTTCAGAGTTTCAAACCCACCAGCCACTCCTCAGGAGCATGATGTGAGTCTGCTTTGGAAAAGAGTACAGCCTTGAAAACCCTGTGGGGCAGTTCTCCTCTGTCCTGTTGGGTTGGTAGGAGTCAGAATAGCCTTGGCAGCAATGAGTTTGGTTTTCATTAACTAACTCTACAGAGTGACGGCCCTAGGTGGGAAGACCCAAAGCAACATCTCTGAGAGTCAGGATGACCTTTTCCCACCACAGGCCAAACTTCCCAAAGGTATTCCAAATCTTAGTCGGAATTCCTTACCTTCCTTCCGCTAATAAAAGTCTTCCAGCATGTGCACAGGGAGCTCTGGTGATGGAGTACATGTTCTAGATGGGCCATCTCCTCCCCTAAAGGTTTATAGCTTCAGAAACTGGATGAGGAATCCCTATGCACATCCAAAAACTTCTCCAGTAGGGTAAAAAGGGAAGCCACTGACTGGGAAAAAGTATTCGGTAATAACATATCAGATAAGGGACTTATATCCAGAATTTATGAAATACTTGAGCACCACAACAAGATAAAGGTAAATAATCCAATAGAAAAATGGGCACAG